GTCGGGTATTCTGTGTTGTTGTTGGCGGAGCTCTCTGCTATACGTCCACCTGATCCGCCATCTTGTTTGTTCTTCCAATAGAAGTACTTTTGAACTGTGACATTGTAGGATAACATTGGACCAATTCAAACTCACCAGCCATTCCTTGGAAACCCTATACAGGTTCACTATGAGTTGGAACTAGCTCGATGGCACTTACATATATTAGGTTAATCCAAAAGAAGGCAAGAAAAAGGAGGGGACAAAGTAACAGTGGAACAAATGGAAAACAGAAATATATCAAATTTAAACCTCATCGTATCAATAATTACATTAAGTTTAAGTAGCATAATCATTCTACTAAAAAGTAGAGATTATCAGACTGATAAAGAAGGAAGACCCAATTAGATGCTTTCTATAAGAATCTAGTTTAAAAACAAAGGGATGCAGATAAAATATTTTATGCAAACTCATATGAGAAAGTTGGAGGATTATTTTCATACAAAGTAGACTTGAGAACCAAAAAGATTATAGGGGATAAAGGCGATTTCATAATGTTAAAATAATCAGTTTATCTAAAGGTACTATAGTTCTTAATAAGTTTACATACAGTAAAACTGCAAAAAGTATGAAGCAAAACAGAATGAACTCATAAGGTAGAAAATTAGTAAGGATACAGAAGGCTTGAATAGCTGGCTCCCTCAGTCAAATGTACTGAATTCACATGTTTAGAACTCCCACCAACAACAGCAGAATTTTAGTAGCTCTTTTTATCGTGGAGTCATCAGTGAGATAGACCATGTGTAAGGCCTCATATATGAAAACAAACATATAAAGGATTGAAATAATAAAAAACATGTTCCCTAACCACAGTGGAATTAAATAACAAATGAGTAATAAAAACTAACACATTTGTAAGTAACCATGTGTCAGCAAATCCATTAAATGGTAAATTAAGACAGTATTTTGAAGTGGATAAAAATGAAACTAAAGCATATCAGGATCTGTGGGATGTAGCAAAGGCAGTGCTTAGAGGAAACGTGTACCTTTAAATGCTTTTTTTATAAAGAAGAATGTCCATAGGGCACATTTTGCAAGCCAGATTAAGTCTAAAATTAATTATATAAGTTTTTACCTAAAGAAGTTAGAGTAAGAATACTGTATTAAACCTAAAGTAAGAGGAAATGAAAAACAAGAGCAGAAAATTTTTTTTAATAGTCAGTATAACCAAAAGCTAGTTCTTGGGAAAATGAGTAAAATTCTTAAACCTCTAGCTGGACTAATTTAAAGAAAAAGAAAATATAAATGATCAACATTAGGAATAAAAGGAGACATACATATAATATAAATATTTAAAGGATAATACAGGAATATTATTAATAACACTCTCATGCCTATAAATTAAAAAAATTAAATGAAATAGACAAATTCCTTGACGTTATAATTAAATACCTTCCCACATATTTTTCTGTATCTCATTTACAATGATGGTCACATGAATCTCCATGTGATAAAATGACATAAAATTGCATGAATGCGTTGTTGTATGCCATTGAGTTGGTTCTGACTCATAACAACCCCATATTTCTGAGCGCAGCGGCTGGTGGGTTTGAACTGTTGACCTTGCTGTTGCCAATCTAGGGCTTATCCTACCATGCTACTTGAGGGGGGCCATCAGTAATTATGAGCCAACATAATTTCCCTGGTTTTAGTATTGTACTTTATTTATATAAGAAGTAACCATTGGGGGAAAATGAGTGAAAGGTATTTGGGACCATCCTGTACTAACTTTGCAATTTCTTGTGAATCTATAATTATTTCAGAATAGAAAGCTATAATTAAATAAGCCTTTCCACAAATAAAACTCCAGACCCACATGATTTTACTGGTGAATTCTGTTGAAGCTTTATAGAAAAAATATTCCAATCCTATATAAAATATTTCACAAAATAGAAGAGAAAGTAGACTTCCCAATTAATTTTATGAGGCCCTGTTGCCAAAACTAGACAAAAACATTCCAAAAAATAAAACTCACTTACCAGTATTCTGACTATTAATATAGATGTAAACTTAAGGGAATTAACAAATTGAATCTAATAATATATAAAACTGATAATCCACCAGGGACAAGTATGGTTTATCCCAGGAATGCAGGGTTAAAATTTAATTCCTTAACAATCAATTATCTGCAGAAAAAGCCTTTAACAAAATTTCACAGGCATTCAGAATAAAAACTCCTGTTGAAGTTGTAACTAAAGGGGAATTTCTTCATCCTGTGCTTGAGTTTAAATCAAACAGATAGAATCCTTTTGCAAACGTGGTTGCTGAGAGCGAAAAACTGACCAGGAGTTAGTCCAAGAGACATTAGTTTATTACAGAAAGAGATGGTTTACAAACAGGGAAATTTACCGACTGGGACAAGAACAGCAGCTGTTTCTAGTATTGGCCAGCTGGACAATCAGGATTCCACCCCAACCAAATAAACCTCATATTCCAGGAAGGAAGGGAGGGGTGGGTGGTATGAGGAGAGTCTTATCTCCAGCAGAGACTCGGGCATAAAACAGCTCTGTGCCAGCTGCCTGTTACTCCCTAGTGGATAAGTAGCTAATCCATGAGAACACAGAATTTCAGTAAGCAGGGTCAGGCATATATGTTAGAGGGGGAGAGAAGGGGAATGACAGGGCATTTCTTCTGGGTCAACATTGGTGTGGCCATTTTGGAGCATTCAGCTTTTGTCCCTTCAGCCTGGTAAATGGATCTGTGAAAAGTCTCCAGCTGCCATATCACTTTCTTGACCAGCTGCTCCCCTCTGGGATCAGGGCATCAGGAAGGAGACTCATTCTCACTGCTTAGTGGACTCTCCTCCCAGGAATGAAAGAGACAGGTGGTTGTGTTAGGCATTGTGGAGTCTGTTCAGACTCACAGCAGTGCTACGGTAAACAGAAGGAAACGCTGCCCACTCCTGTGCCACCCTCACAGTTTTTCCTGTGGTTGAGCCTACTATTTGAGCCACTGTGTCAGTCCATCTCATTGAGGGCCTTCCTTCTTGTCATTGACCCTCTACTTTACAATGAATAACATCCTTTTCCAGAGACTGGTCCCTCCTAATGGTGGTGGTGGTGGTGTGCTGTGAAGTCGGTTCTAACTCATCGCGACCCTGCATAGGGTTTCCAGGGCTGTAAATCTTTATGGGCGCTGAAAGCCTCATCTTTCTCCCGTGGAACAGCTGATAGTTTCAAACTGCTGACCTTGGGGTTAGTAGCCCTACTTGTAACCAGTATGCTACCAGAGCTCCTTGGTCCCTCTTGAAAGCATATCCAAAGTATGTGAGATGAAGTCTGTGCACCTTAGAATTATCAATCATTTAAGATCAAAAGGGCAGCATTTGCTCAGGACAAAGTTCAGAAAGGTTAGGAAAGAAGGAGAAATAGAAATGGGAAACACAGGGAGGGAGTGGGGTAAGTGATGTTACATTATGTAGGAATTGTCATCAGTCACATGAAACAAAATGTGTGTGACATGAGTGTAAAACTGATCTGCTCTGTCAACCTTCACCCAGTTTACACACATAATTCTAGAGTGCCGGTAGTTGTCAGGGGGCAGTGATGGAGAGCAGGGAAGGGGAAAGGAGGCCCACAGGAGGAATCCTTGTGTGATGGGATATTTTGTACCTCGACTGTATCAGTATTGACATCCTGGTTGTGATACTTAACGCTAGTCATGTAAGATGTCAGCATTTGGGGGACAAGATGAGGGGTACGTGGGATGTTACTCTATTATATTTGAATCTACAATGATATGAAAGTTAATTTTCAAAAAGTGTATTGATTACATTGTATTTCTGTGTTATGTATATGTGTGTATGTGAGACAGAGAAAGGCATAGCAGTTAACTTTTTTGAGCCCTAGTTCTAGATTTCACCTGACTTTGACTGTTTATCTTACAATTTCAGAGACATTCCATAAGTGGACCGATCTCGACATCCAAGCCCCTAACGACCCTGACGGATAAGAGGCCAAACTACGGAGAAATTCCTGTTCAAGGTATATCTCGTTTTCAGTTTCTAAAAACACTACATATCACAGTATTTCATGCTTGCTATTAATCTTTGGGTCACTGTAGCATTTTTGCTAATTAAATTGTTGTTTACTTTGCTTCTGACATGTAGTCAACCACTGTGGTGTCATCTTTCTTAGAAGCTTGTTAATAGTACATCTTAGTTGTTTATTGGT